CAGGACTCTTTTCTATACATTCATGAACTCTTTCAAAGTCCCAATCTTATTTCTTTTATAATTTTCCAGATTGTGCCTTGGTTTCTCTTTGAATTTATGTCTAGATTCAATGTATTTCCCAAGAGATGCATCCTTTCGTTATAATTTTCATCCATGGTGGTTATAACCACCTATTAAGTCAATGGGTGCCTCAAAATCCTCTTCAAAATTCACAGAAACCAAATTTACTCTTCCAATAACTATCATTGGAGCTTAAACGCGAGGCATCTGGCGCTTTGGCGCGGCCTTCTCTATTTAACCAGTGCGTAAGCGCCAGATTTGGCGCTTAGGCGCCAAAACTCTTTTGGCTTAGGCGCTAAGCGCCAGATTTGGCGCTTAGGCGCCAAAACTCTTTTGCACATTTTTCATTTTTTTGCTCCAAATTTGATCATTTTTCACTCCTTTAAGCATTTTTCACCCTTTTTACCTGTATCTGCAAGAAAAACACAAAAATATCTTCCATTAAAGCGCAATATCTCAAAAATAGATATAAAAATTTGTCTAAAAACACTATATATTTTAGGTGTATCAATATGCAAACCACAACTTTAGTTCATTTCCTACACTAAGCATTTTCAGAAGAAGTAAAAACAAAATAACATAATATTAATATAAACAACTGTAAAGAACAAGATCAAAACCTTACATATTTCATATCATACTTACAGACATAAAAGTAGAGAAGACTTTATTTAGCTGCACTGACAGACACACATAATTAGATTACAAGAAGAGAAGTGGAGAGAAGAAAAAGAAGAAGACTTGCTAATTTCACTCTGCCCTTCACCTTCAGCAAATGGAGCAAAAAATAAACTTGAAGAGCCACAGTCGTCATCATGGATGACAATAATTTGCTTCTTAAGTTTTCATGGTTGATGATTTTTTCAATAATTCTGTCGGTGGAGTAATAATGCTGGTACGAAAATATTGTTTTTCCAGCAAGTGGAGTATGATGTGGCAAATAATTCCACAATAATTGAGTTTATGGATCATTTTTGTGGTACGATTATATTACCTCTTGATGAGTTTCAGCATATGTGGCAATTAATGTTGTTATTGTTGAATAATAATTGAGCTGGAAAGATTCTTTTCCGAAACAATTATGTTGCCTATGCTTTAAAGTTGGTTGCTATTATTTTTGGCTTTGAGCTTCTCTCTTATCCCTTGTTGTGTATCTCTCTTCTGGCAATACATACATATATATATATATATATATATATATATTTATAATTTTTTGCAAAATAATTCTTTGACTATCTTATTGACAGCTACAACATTCTTGCTAAGAATGCAGACTCATTTCTTGTACATTACTTCATGAATTTTTCGTGTCGGTTGCTTGCAACGACTATATATGAATAAATGCTCAGAATAATGATAGACCCAGATGTTTGTAGGGTCTAACTTCTTAGCTTCAACCCAAATTTATTATAAATCATCAACCTTAGATCTTTGATATAATAATTCAATTGGTTTATATTTTAGAGTATAAGGCTCGTTATTTATTTCAATATGTATAAATGAACTCACTCCTTCCCTTATTGTGGGATAAGTTTCCTATAATTTAGTTGAAAGGTTCGAATTAGCAGGACGGCATCACATCAAACAAAACCTCTGAAACTCCCATCTTTTTCCTTTCACAGCTTACGAGTTGCAGCGTCTCTGATTCTCGCAAGCCAAAACAGAGTGAATGGGATAAACACCTCTCAATTTTTTTATGTATTTATGTATCTAACACCTAAATTTTAAATTTTACATACATACATATGATTTATATTTCATTACTTAAAATTAAAAATTGTGATTTCTTAAATTTTATATGAAAGTTTTGAGGGGTGTAAATATAAAAATCAAATTATAGATAATAAATACATAAATTTATATATCTTAAACCAAATAATTATTTATAAACATCTTAATAGCTATTTAGGATTAATTTATTTTTTTTCTAATTTTTTTAATTTTTAATTTTGAGGTTTAATTATTTATTTATATTTTAAATTAAAAACATATTTTATTGAGATAATTATTTAAAAAAATACTAAAAATAAATAACAAAATAAAAAAAAACTATATCAACTAAAACAAAACATGAATGATACCAACCGAACACTTAATTTTTAAGAGAATCTTTTACATATATATATTACTAATCTTTATTTAAATTTGCTCCTCTAACTCATGTCCATATCATATATTTTTAATAATATACGAGTTTTCATTCTTAATGTCCATACAACATAACATCAAAGCTATTGATTTAATCTAGAGGTTTTAATTTTAAATTTTAGAAGTCGATTAATTTTGAAATTTTTTGTCATTTGCTAGAACTAAACATGAACACTCTTTGAATGTGAAGCTTAGCATTGGTAGAACCACCACCCAGTACCAATGGTAAGCTATTAACGGTAATAAGCTCTCAGGGCCTGCCCGAGCCTTTTTTTACAATGCCAATAATCTATTATCACCAACACGACTCATGAAGACAATTCAACTCTTTCTGTCCATTTCTACCTAAAATCAAAATCTTTTTACTCGAATTAAATTTAAACTAAGCTTGCCATAAAAAACTAATGATTCAGACAAATATTAATAAATAAATAAAACTGCTAAATCCTATAGCCTGTAAGCTCAGGAGATGATCGAAACTGTTTATTGGCGCCCGCACTGAAACACTTCAAATATAAAAACAATGCAATTCCGCAAACTTTTACAATATAATCTCGTAGAAAAAATAAAATGACAGTAATACCTTAGAAAAATAACCCTGAAAAAGGCCATTGACGCACAATAAATTGTAATCAAAACCATAAAAAGTTAGAGAAATAAAGAAATTATGAATCGAAGTTTCCATTCTATGACTGGAAGTTGGATAAGTTCCAGGTTGTTCCTTCTGCAGTTGTTGAAGAAGAGAAGCCTGTTGTCCTACCAAGACCGGATCCTGCACCCATCGCTCTTCCCCTGTATGATGGTGGAGGTGGAGCCCTTTCCTTTTCATTGGATTCATCATTAAGTCCACCAACAACACCAATGTCTGCTAGATTCGCCTTCTTAGCTGCCACAAAATTCATTACATTGAGTGTTAAAACGTAAGATAAAATGTAAAACCACCAATAAGTAATAGTAAATTGCAAATTATACTTGTAAAATGCGAATTTTGTTGTAATTCGAACCACTATTATATTCTGTTTTACAATAAAAATGTTGCAAATTTCAATATTTAGATATTAGTCTTAACATTTATTTTATAATTTTCCTCTTGTTTTGAAATGGTTTTTCAATCTCACTTATTTAGCAATGCTATTTAAGCAGAAGTTAGGAAAAATAGGTGCAATTGAAGGTCAGATGCATACGCAGATACTGATTGTTAGGAAAAATGCATGAATTAAACAGAAGGTAAAATCAAGAGAAGCAACTCACATGCTGTTATATTCAGATCAATCAATCCGCGGCTCAAAGAATCAGCCCAAATCCCAGACTTCACTTGAAAAGGCTCCTTTTTAGGTGCAGGTTGTCTGGTGTTTGAAAAATCGCCTGAAGATTCCTTTGATGCCGTCGGAGCATTAGAAGTGAAAGAACCGAAGAGATCATCAGGTCCAGCAACAATGTTCACTGGAATTGCAGCAAAGGGATCAGCGGTGCTGCTATTTTTTGTGTTTGTACCGGGGAGTTTTGATTCAGAGGGAAAGATGGAATCTGATGCAGCAAATGGATCAAAAGAACTGATGGCTGTTGGGTTGGAAGACTTGGACTCTGGAAGCAAGCCTGAATTTGTTTCTGCAAACAACTTCGCATTTGAAGGAAACGTAGCAGGAATAGCATTCTGATTAGAAAAAAGATCGACATTTGCCTGCAATAATGCAGAAAAAAAAAATAACTTTACACAATTGTGAGCGATTACCACCAGAATTTATCCAAGATTCAGCATATAGATCAATACATGAGGCGATCTATTTGTAACCGATCTCTTGGGATAACACTTAAAAACCTAAAAGTGGAATTAGGCCTCCCATTGCTCTCCACCCTCGATCTTGCTAGCAGCTAAAGGTTATATAGAACCACCTTCAATTGTATGGGAATTTTAGGGGTTGAGGAAATCCTAACCACAAGGGTATGGCATTTGGAACAAATTCACTAGTATTACTTCATCAAACTCATAATTTCTCTCTCTATTGGTGATGGCAATCTACTTTAAATTTTCTTTTTTCAACCCTTTGGTTCGCCATAAGATCTTCCGGCAACCACTCTATTGCCTTCCTCAACCACACTAGCTACTATAATTACAAATAATGTTTTGATAGTGGCATTCCCAAATCTCCCTAATATTAACTACCACTAGTCAAGATTACTTCTGAAACTTCAAAAAATAATATGCATAAATTCCTATAAGAATACTCTCATAATTTCTACTTCTAGCCAAATTATCTTTTTACATACACTTATCTAATGTGTTCTAGGCTAACTGCATTTTGCATAACAAAGCTAAAATTCATTTTTCATTTTTTTTTTATTGGATGGCAATCAAAAGTTGGCCTCAAATTGTTGATAACTTGTTTGGTAGGCGAGTCAAGTGTTTCCACACCAACCATCTCTTCCGGTTGGATGATGAAAAATGTTTGAATCATTTCTCTTGAATTTCCTCACGGTTACATTTTTTCGGTGTGTTTTGCTCATGGGTCCATCTTTTTTATTTTGTAAGTGTTGGACTGCATTGCCCAATCTTAAGATTGATCTCCTCTAACAAATTCTATGTCCCTTTTCTATAGTTACCATTCCCTACAACATTTAACTTGAGAAAAACAAAAAGTTATACTACCATCATATGAAAAGCACCTCTACTATTTTCTAAGTTATGTGCATAATTAAAGCTTGAAAATGGAATGACATTCGATTATCTAGGACCACAAGTATTTTGGAAATATGGAATTACTTTTCGTTTGATGTAGAAGAATAGTTCATAGAGCTTTATTTTATCTTTCGAGTCTATTTTGATGTTCTCCATCAAACCATGATCATTTTCAGATGCTCAATTTTTTAGCCTCAACTAGATTTTCTTCAGCCTTACTTTGGCTCTACAAGCATTCCGAATGGTGTGTTTGCAAAATTCCTGAATAAATATTTTCCACTTGTTTGACTCCTAATTGTTTTCTTTAACAAATAGTGTTGGAGCCCATTCCAAGTCACTTTGGTTTTCTTTTTCATGCCAATTCTGACAATAATTTGTCATTTTATTATGTTTTAAAACTCAAAATTTTGTTGCGCTTAGGCAATCTCCTATTGAAGTCACCTGCACTCTCTCTATCTTCTTTTGGTTTCATCAATTTTCTTTTATACATAAAGCCTCAGCACTAAATCCCACTCCCTTCAAAACACGAAGAGGTAACAGTGAGGAAATATATAGCTTAACCTGCTTATTAGAGCTTGTTCCTTCTTGAGGTGCAGCTGACACAAAAGCTGCATCAGCAAACAAATCAACCTCGGATTTTTCAGTAGACTTTAACGTTGGTGAGTCTGTTGGCACAAATGTAGGAGCATCCAAAAGGTCGCCTAATAAGCTTTCTCCAAATAAATCCACTTGAGGTGAATTTATATTTGTTGATTCTGCAGAATTTTGAGGAAAAAGATCCATCAGAATTTAGTATGGTTGTTTCATGTTTCGAATTATATTAATTTCTGAATCAACAAAAAGAAATTATAATTGTGATATCATAAAGCTTCAGTAGCTGCACTTTGCAGAGCCATCCACAACAGCCAACCGTGTAACCGTGTGATGTACATGGACAAAGTGTAAACTAATAAATTCCAATCATTTCCCGAGTAAAACTGGAAACAGAAAATATTACAAGTTTCAGAATACCAACCAAATTTTGTAGAACCGCGTGGATTAAAATCGTCAAGCTCGTCATCATTACTCGCTATCTTGGTACTTCGGCTTGCAGATGATGCTAAACCAGGCTTAGGCAAGGGTTTCGCTGAAACATTTTGGTTTCTGTAAAGTATTCCATAAGCAGCATAATTAATTGAAAGTTGAAAAAAATAAAAATGAAAACAAAAATATCAAACGTTAGAATATATTATCAGCTAATAAGAATATCAATATCTAGGGTTTATATATGCATGCCTACAAACATACTTCTATATATCAAGGGCAGCAGAGATCAATATGATTATTTATGATAAAATAATTAGTGAATCTAGGATAATCAGATAAAATATATATTCCAGTAGCCATCTGCATTACAAATGTATAAAATGTAGTAAGAGAATGGTTAAAAGAAACAAAAAATTCATACATATATCATAGATCTCCAAAACAAATATAATAATTCAACTAAATAAATTATTAATATTTTTCAATAAAACTGAACAAAATTTTATATCATTCAACGAAAAAGTTCAACACAAAACTATAGCAAAGCATTTCGTGAAATAAAAAGCTAGTAACAAAATACATCAACAAAGTTAAAAGAAGAACATAATCGCAAGGGCACATTAAAAAAATGTAACGTGAAATCTGTGATGGAAAAGTATCTTCATCTCTTTCTCTACAAGCATCAAGAATTTGAAAGTTTTTATCCTCTATGCTAGAAATGCGAACAAAGGAGATCACAAAATTCACAATTGACAAGTGACACAAGGCTATTTAGGTTTTAGAGTTTCCTAATACAACCAGTAATGTGATATGCTCAAATAATGCAAGTCACATGATTTACATATCAAAAACTAATGATTCAAAAACTTGTTTTTAAATTGTAAACAATAAACATGAACAATTATTCCAAAATGATAATGTATGATCATATAAATCAAATGAAATTGACAAGAAAATTGAACTAATCAAATCAGATAGCAATTGTAATTTAATTGGCAACAAATAGATTTCCAATCATGTCAAACTCGAAAATAAAAAGCATTAGCAAGCTAATAAAAAATATGCAGGTAAAATTAGGTCAAAGGAAAGGATCCATAGTAAAAAAGCCACACACTAATACAAAGATATTACTTCTGCTAGAATTAGGTAGCCACACCCCTATTAGTACAAACAACGGTGTGTACAATTTACACATAGAAGATTGAGAACTAAAAGATAAAATTGTATTCAATCAAAGTTATCCATTACATGCCTCAAAGATCATATATTTACATTCCGCAACTTATAAAGAAAACAATCTTTTGTTATTTTTCTAAGAATAATACATACAGTAAAATCAAATCCAAGTGATGAAATTCCATAAAATTCAATAGTTAAGTGGTATAATAGTGCACACAAAAAAAATTCAATGGAATGAAATGAGTAGCAAAAAGTACAGCAGCATTTAAAATTAAGTAGAGAATAGGGAAAAGCACATGCCACACCAACCAGCCACAACAATCATACTATGAAGTCTACAAGAATCAACCATCAAATTGTTTTCTGAAGACTAGCTACAGAGATTTCTTAAAAGAAGCTCCAGGGACTTGAAAATGCCAACCACAAAACTAATTTGTTGTGGCCTTGTGGAGTTCATATCCATATCAAAATTAAACATGTGATAAAAAGATATGGATGGCATGTGCTTTCCATGTGCATTCCATGTGCATGGGCATCATCTTGAGCACATGAAATACTTAAAAAATAACATAAAAACAAATAATAAAGCTATTGTAATCAAGTTCCCAATTGCCGCTTTTGTTGAGTGTAAACAAGCAAATCCCCATCAAATCTACTCAACATTGACAGCTTCAACTCTGACGAATTTAATCACCAAGCAAACCAGGATGCATACCATATTTTGTGTTTCTTGCAAGATTATCACGAGTCATCGAAAATAAGCTGGACAAAAATCTAATAATTCCACAATGAGTATTGGCACAATCCCATCATACAAAATAACTTTAGACAAAACTATAAGGATTTACCACAAAAAATGTTGGACACTAATTTACAGATAGCAGAGTGAACGAAGAATTTAAGGAATTAGAAGTACGTTGCTGAAATAAAAAGGTCAAAGCAAATACAACAAAAGTTGGATTAATGATAAAATTTCATTAAATTTGTAAGTTATAGGTGTCAGTTCTAATGATTCTATGCAAGTTTCTACTCGGACAATCACTAGCATAATGATAAATTTTAATGAAACTTAAAAATATATTTTGGTAAAAATCATAAACATGGATGACAAGATGTAGGTGACTTTTCTTCATAGACCTTATTAATTAAAGTATTCCAATCCTTTGTGATACGCCTGTGGTGATTTATTTTTGATCCAAAATATGCAATAATAACCTTTAGATAAAAAAAAAAACTAAACATCTGCTCAAATCCAATACAAGCTTAAAAGCGTTATCAAGTAATGAATATGATTTGATGTCATCTCTTTCGATATCAAGCATCACATCAAACATCTCTGAAGCAACAACATTGTCGGTCATCTTTTCGATGGAAAAGTATTTTTATAGTTTTGAAAAGTAGATGATTTAATTTAACCTAAATAGTGTATTTTAATATGAAAATAGTGTATTTTAATTTTGAAAAATGAGACCGACTGGATCTCATTTGCCCAATAAATTTATATAATCGTGTCCGGTACCACAAATGATACATCTTCTAGAAAGATAAGTATACACAGCGGCGGTGGATCCAATCATACAAACTTATGAGGTTTGTGACAACCATTTGGTCTGCGAACCTTTTATATGTGACCGACAAATTTCTCTATTTAATACAAAGATTAAATAGGGTTTATTTTACCTGGGTTCTAAGTTTCCAATAAAGGCAAGTCTCTATAAATAATTACATCCCAAGTGACGGGAATCACTTGAGAAAACTCTCGATAATGATCAGTGGTTCTAGTCTTCAAGAATTCAAAGTTCAGGTTTTCAAGGAAGGACGTGGAAAAAACAAGTGGGAATGACTCAAGTAAGAACAATCCTTTCAGGAGTCCAAAGGAAGTAAAATGTAGGGAATGTCACAGATTCTGAGGGGAATCCTCGGTGACCTCCCAAACTATCCTACTGTGTGGCTGAGTTTTAGAGAAGATTTTACTTGAATGTTGAATCCTGTCAATTTTATTAGTTGAGACTTACACATGCATAGTAATTGGTTATGCAAATAGCCCGCAGAGGTAAGAGGTTTTACGTCGTTCTGGATGACCATCTCGGAATCTAAGGCGAGTTAGGACTTATACTGCTCAGTATGATTGTGCAGTAGCCCAAAAGAGGGAGAGTAATTACGTTGCGCTAGGCGAGCTACCTCGAAGTCCTATGGGTTGTTTAAACTAGGAAAGTTTAGTTGGTGTAGACTCATTCTGCTATTGTAGAATGGCGACCACCTCCACTTGTAGTTTGCTCCAAACTCCTTGTCGTGCTGCCCACGAAGTTTCTCCGAGTTCCTCGTCGCAGTAACAGTCCTAAAGTCTAAAGCTCAAACAGTTTTACCATGTGTGTTCTAATGTCTCAATTTGGTTGTCATTGGGGGGTTCAAGTTGATTAGAGCGACACCGGTTAAGATCCCACAGTTCCCTCATTCCGGTATCACTATTTTCTTTTGAACTTACTTAGTTTAAACAAGTTATGAAACTCATTTAAACCAGGGAGACCTCGTTAGCAACCGTGGGTTACCTCCTCCGAGGGACTCCCGTAAGTTCGAAAAAACATGTTATGTTTTTTTTTTTTGAAAATGTTGTTTAATTTAAAAAAAAGATTTTGTTTTGAAAGTGAGATTATATTCAGTACCTGCATAATGTGTTACAGTAAGAGTAATTGCAATAAAGAAACAACAACAAATAAAATGTACCTACGTACGTGGTGTATCTGCTGCTGCTGCTATTTTTGTTGCATGTTTAACTCACAAAACACAATATAATTTGCATAGAATTTAAATAAATTGTAGAGAAAAGAAGAAAATGGTAAATAGTTGAACAAGTTGTAGAAATAACAAGGAACTCAAAAGAGGTGATCCTAAGGCGTCCTACAACTATTGATTGCAACTAGCGAGCTAGTATGGTGATCCTACGATCTCCTACAGCTCTGAGAAGCAAATAGTAAGTGTGTATGGTGATCCTACGACTCCGAACAACAGCTAGAAATTTCGAATAGCGCCTATATGAGTTCCTATGAACCCAAACAACAATGGGCAGGACCTATGCGGCTTCCTACGAACCTGAACAGAGGTGGGCAGCAACTAGATGGCTTCCAAACAATGGTGGACAGCTACTAGGTGGCTTCCTGCGACACTGGGTAGCAAATAGAAGCATTGGACAGCAGTCCTACAACTTCCTACGGCGCTAGGCAGCGACTAGAAACATTGGACAGCACTCTATAGCATTCCTATGACACTGGGCAGCTACTAGAAGTATTGGACAGCGGTCCTACAGCTTCTTACGACACTGGGAAACTACTAGAAGTAGAAGTATTGGACAGCGGTCCTACAGCTTCTTACGACACTGGGCAGCTACTAAAGTATTGGACAGCGGTCCTACAGCTTCTCGCAGCAAAGAACAACACTTTTACAGTAACTAACGACAGCTATTAATCACCGAACAACACTTTCAAGCCCCCCCAAGCAGTTTTCAAACATCTCAACGCTACCTACATTTCTTCCAAAACAACATGTAAACCAACCCCAAGAAGATGCATTTAAACATTCCCCAAACAATGTGTAGTATGCAGCGAAAGAATTCATTTGTCACAGATGCACGTATTCGAGTTCCAAGTATGGGGCGTGTGTGTAAAAAAAAAATTAAAGTTTGGGTGTTAACATGTATGTCCTACTTCATGTTGTTTAAACTGAGATATATATATATATGCTGATAAAAGGCATGAATAAATTCGTAAGTTACAACCAGTCGATTACGACAATAAAATATCTGAGAAAATGTATGGTCGAAGCAAAGCACATGCGTCTGAATTGGAACAAAGACAAGTTTCTGTAACTTGATAAGCAGAGAAATTTAGTTGCATACCGTGAAGTCCAAGAAGCAGAAGATTCAGAAAAGCTACTCGTGCCGA